TCTGGAAGCTTGCTGCGTCAGAGCGCGAGTGCATGTTATGTAGTCGGCATCGGCTGTTTCGACAGAACTTGTCTCCTTCAGTTGTACGCCAGCCCGCTAACAGTCGCAAGCTTCCACGCAGCTTCGGTGTAACTTGATATTTCACCAATACGAGCTTGTCTGTGCTTGCAAACATCAAGCTCCCTGCCTGCTAATGCAGTCTTGTCAGTCGTCACTTGGTCATGTGTGAGTTATGTGACGAGTTGCAGGGACTCCTTTTGGATGAGCTGGCCAAGGCACGGGTATGTGCTGGTGGCTGGGGCAGACTTTCCAGCTGGCAGGTTGTTGGCGCCAATGCCAGAGAGCTGGCAGCATCCTGGAATCTTCCAGGAGCTGGAAGTCTAGGCCTGTATTGTGAGTTGCTGATCTTCGTGCAAGCGCATCTCATGTGACGTGCAGGCTTGATGACGCCGGATAGAAATGACAGGAAAGTCATTGCGAATGTCGAAAACTCAGGGGCTGTGGTCTTGGCGTGTACATGCTTCACGGTCGACAGAAGACTACCCATCTGTTTCTGTTCTGTGCAGGCGCAGGAGATTGCGTCCATTGCCGAGCCACAGGTCCTGTCCTCGGCTGTTCCGCATGTTCGCACACTGAAGACGACTACACGCAATGCCGGAATGTCTGGCTTCGTCGAGTTCCACCACACTCGAATCACACTCGTCCACCGGAGCGCCGACAAGTCTGACGCCTTCCGAAGGAGTGATGTGGGTTTCTTCGCCCTCTCCTGTTTGTCTGACCCTGCTTCCCCGGACCGCCCCTGCCATCTCCGACCTACTCGATGATGAAAGAAGCTCATGACAGTCTGGCTCACAATCCGCAGACACAGGTCAAGCGGGGCAAAGAGCATAAATCAGATGATAGTAGCGGTCCAAGTCATCGACCTTTGTAGTCTATTCTTAGGCCTGCGGCCACATTTCACGACACGACTTAACTTCACCGAGCATTCAAACAAATGCGGAATCGTATACACGACAAACCTATGCACTTCTTCGTCAGACTCAGTCTCCAAGCAACCTAGGCTACGTTGCTAACACCTTTTCCGGCAGTTTGTCCCTGCCGACGGCTCCACCCCGTTCTGTGCCCCTCATCCTAGAAAGTGATGCCGATCCACTGTCACACTTTCGATGAATGCCTTGCCTCTGAACAGGTCCGCGAGACTATCGAACGCTTTCGAGCCTTGTAGCTTGGTAGCATCCATGGTTTGCCGCTGATGTTGTCCACTGATGTCCACTGTGATAGGGCAGCGGTCGTCAAACTGTCTAGCGATCATGGACGAGGCCTTTCCGGGAGCAACGAAGCATCGCAACAGAGGCTATGCTCGGCATGTGCAGCAAAGACCTTAAACATGTATGCAGATGGTGCGACCAAGGTCGTGTCAAGGCTGTGGGGTTATCGAGATGAGGCCGTGGGTGCCGGAGGCCGCCTTGTGCGAAGCTCAGCTCAGCCTCAGGGACTCAGGGAGTACGCTTGAGCTTTCGCGTCACAATATGTCAAATGTCAAAAGCCGGGAGTGAAACTGTCTGCTTGAGCATGCTTAATGACGGGTGATACAGCACGCATGCATTCTGAACAGTGAGGTGGGGGTTGTAGCAGGTTACAGCTCATTCCGCTCCTTGACATGATCCGGCATCTTTCCACTTCTCACATTTAAATCATTTGCATGCATGCTGCATGTGTTTGCCTCATTCGCAACCGAGGTTGCTCGGCTGGTGGTTCAGGGAATATCCCGTGCCTAGCACTGAGCATCAAGCATAGAAGCATGGTAGTTTAGCCAGTGTGTGCCTCATGAAGTTTGCTTTCTTCTGCACCTCCACAAGAGGTCAAGGCCGACATTGACCAGGCACTGTCAAGCTCGTAGCACCAACGCTGCCCGCTGGCAACGAATTTGTCGGCCCAGTGAGGGCATTTGTTGCTCTAGCGTCTCACCAATTTTCATAGGCCCATGTTTCAGCCCAGGGCCTGTTAATGTCTGACTTCGCTTGCGCACCGGCTGCGCGGCATGATTTTCCTCCCGAGCTGTGCTGAATTGCACGAAGTTGGGACCCGCCACGACTGGACTCCATGCCCCAAGCACCCTCTGCAAATGCATGTGACAGGACCTTGTTTGCGCAGCGAGCCTCTATGAGCCACTTTTTGCTTGCTGGTGTTGGCTGCACAGCAGATATCACACCGCAATCTAGGCTCACCGAGCCTTGTGAGCCAAGCCCGTAGGATTTGCATCGAAAAAGAATCGAGTAGGCATTGGTTCATGTTCCATGGCTGAAACTTGTACAGCGTGCTGGTAGCACGCTGTCGTGTGCCAGAATCAGGACGCCCATGACCTGAGCGTAAGTCCCAAGCAAGAAAAGAGCAGCTGGCCGCGGCCACGCACATGCGGAAGCATGTTAAAGGATCGTGAAGAATCTTGAGCCGATGATGCAACCTGTGCGACTCAGCTCGACACAGCATCGGCGACACGGTGTGACGCATGAGGCTCCTGAACGGTGAGTTTGTCGCTTCCGACCCTCCCCCCAACAACCACGCACATCCCGGACACCAACCCAGACGACAGCAGGGACAATACACCAATAAACTCGGACAATAACCACACGAGTTTAGGAGGCTCAGGGTTTGGGGGTTTGGGATTGAGGGTTGTAGGGTTCAGGGTTTAGGGTTCTGGGTTTAGGAATTTGGGCCTTCCAGTTTAAGTTTAGGGTTGATGAGGCACTAGGGTTTGAGATAGACTCGGGCTTCGGGGTTTCGGGTTTGTGCCTTAGCACTTCGAGGGGTTTTAGGCTGAGGGGCTTTGGAGTCGGGAGCTTGCCGTAGGGTTTTCAGGGCTCAAGTTTGGGGTTTTGGGTTTACATGGGTTTACTGCTTGGGGTTTAGGTCCAGCTGCTAGCTTGCTTAGGGTTTAGGGTTTGCACCTTTTGCTGTTTTCGGGGTTTGGTAGTTGTAAAGTTTCAGGACGATTTCGAGTTTACGGTTCAGTGTCTGGGGTGTAGGGTTGTACGGTTTGGGTTTAGGGCGGAGGGTTTGGGCTATTTTGGGCTGCTCATTTAGGGAATGGCCTCTTCCAAAGAGGTTTGCAGCCAACATGCCCCTGACACATCCTGACACAAACCCCCAAGACCTGGACAACACACCGGAATGCCCGGCCAATTTCTCCCCCCCTCCAAGCCCGGACAACCGCTACAAACACCGTAGACCGTAGACCATAAAGACATATAAAGACCCGCAAATCAACGGAAAACAAACTGAACAGCTCTGTTTACCACAAGGTTGGAAGAGCACTTCTTCGGGGTTCGGAAGCGACACGCAATAGGACATTGATTTGCGCTACATCGTGTTGTCCATGCTGGTCTCAGCAGTTTGTCTCCAGGTACGCACTGCGATTTGCTGGAGCAAAAGCAGCGACACCGGCAACAGCTCCTTCCGTTGCCTACCCAGCCCTGAGAAGCGAAAGGAAATGTGAGCACGCACAGACTTGGAGGTCTGGATGGTTCTGCAAAGCTGGGCATCTCAAGTGCATCTCGGCCAAAGAACAGGTCTGGATCAGAAGCTTTGATTCAATGACGTCTGCCGAATCTTCAGTTGGATCGAACATAATAACCGATGCTGCCTGCAGCGAGCACATGATTCTGAAAAGTGTTGCTACATCTTCTCATGATTCTCATGTAGACATACCGAACGAATGCAGGCATTGCATCCCTCGTGTAGTTTTGGCTTGCTGGTCCGTGGACCCCTTCGCAGCGAAAATTGCTGTCCCAGCCCCGGTTTGCCCCTTAAAGTTGCAAGTCTAGGGCGGAAGAGCTTGCGTCATTGGAACGCAAGTCTTACCAGATATGTTGCGAGAGAGTACAAACAATTCTGATTCGTCGGTTGCCACGCAGATCCTCGCTTCCATGTGCTTGATGCAATAGCAGTACAAGGAATGCATTTGCAAGAATCGAGCAGACCGATTTCGTTTTAGCATGCGACAGCAAGGCCGGCACTGACTTCGTTGGCACACTCTCCCTCCAGCATGTCCCCGCCCTCCACCATGCCTGGTTCGGGACACTTGTTTTCCAGATCGGCACACGTTTCGAACGAAACAGTGGCCTTCCGAAAGTGTTCCGGGTTCCTGGCCGGCAAGCTTTGGGAGGTCCAGCAAAGCTGTGGGAGGCGGTTAGAGGCCCTGAGAGGGTATGGATCCATCGGTTTCTGAATGACACGTAGAGCCATGCCCAGAGCAAGATCATGCAAGGTTGATCAGAGGATCAAGGCCCTTTTAGAATTAGAATGCTGTTAGGATAACAGCCTTTGCCTGCTTACAGCTGAGTTGTAGTAGTCGGCATGCTTCAAGGTGCCGACTAGGTTAGATGGTTCGTAACACAGGATCCTAGATTCCGACTGATTCACCAGCTGAAAGCCGATAATGGTCGAACCACCAACCGCTCGTTTTCTTGTCGCGATAGGCATGGCAAAGAGGATGCGATAGAGCACGGGGTCAACGAGTCAACGATCCCAGGATGCGAAATCATGATTCTAATCATAATCTCGATCATCTCGCTAAATTGTGAAGTAGCGCCTGTGCACGTGGCCTCTTTGTCTCAAAGAGCTTGGTTCAGACCCTTCTGCGAAGGCACCAGGCAGAGACGCCTCGAACACTGAAACATGGATCAGCGAAGCAGAAAACTGCGGCGACGGCTCAAAAGATTCCTGCCAGCAGAATGTCACAGAAACCAGGAACGGCAAAACAGGGTTCGTCATGTTCTGATACTGGCACAGTCTTTGGCAGTGTCCTGTCCAAGGCTGTTGCTTTCGCTGCATGCTTCAGAAAGAAGGACCGAAGGCGTTGGAGCCCAGCATGACTTCTGCCTGGTCCAATTGGGCAGCACCGGTGCAGGCAACCCAAGATCTCACAGCTCAGTGAACCAGAAGGACAGCTGATTCCGTTCCGCCTTTCTAGCCAATATTCACTGCAAGTTTCTACAGGCATGACACAGACCCTCACTTCTCGTTTGGCAGCTGAGTTCAGGGCGGAGGTGGGCCTGTGTTCAGATCTTGTCACCAAACAGCTTCCACCCGGCGAAGCTTGCACCGTTCTCTTCATCGCGCACCGATGCATGAGTCCAAATTCGAGGCCAAACCACTTCTGCTGATACCTGCCACACTGATTTCAATGTCGCTGGCCGGGACGGCATCACTCAGGCACATCATGCAATCTGTGCACGATGCAATACCATGCAGATCTGCCTATTGGCAGCCTTAGCGATCCAAGTTCGCTCTGCATGCCAGGGCCTTCCTGACTGGACGTCTCCTCGACATTGCTCTAGACTGTGCAAAAACCGGTGGAGATCCCGCGGCTGCGTTTCACGCCCTGGCGCCGATTGCAGGCTGGTGGACTGGAAGAGCTATCATTCGGGCAGATTGGAGCACCTTCCTGTTAAACCCAGCGAGCGGCACCTCCAGGCTACTACTTTGCATGCGCTCTCTATGGCTATGTGGCCTGATACCCGGCCACAGCGCAGGGACACTATAGATTTTTCCTTGCCAAGTAAGTGCTGCCGAAGCTCGTATCCTGCAGAGGCGAACGTGGTGCAGGGTATCCTCTTCGCCTTGGCCAGGCTGCTTGGTCCTACACGGGTTGGAGCCTAGACTTGAGAAGATTCGAAAAATCAGCATCCGAATCGACGCAAGTAGGTGTCACAGAAGTATGACACGTTGCTTATTCTTTCTTGGAAAGCGGCACGAAGGAAAGCTTCTGTAACGAGCAGGCTCGCTACCAAGATAGATAGGCGAAAGACATGCCTTTCGTTTTGCAGCATTGACGTCCATTCCTTGCGGCATTCCTCGACAGTTAAGGTGTGGTTGCACCAACCGCTAAAATAAGAACAGTATCCCCCTAAGGTTCTTATTTGCGGGGTTTTCATAACAAGTCAAGCCACAACGAAACCATCTCCACCCAACAAAAATTAAACCCTAAGGTTCGTAATATTGAATCAATTTGATTTTTGGGAATCCCGCTTGGGGTAGGGGCTCAGGTTCTTAAACAGTGGGTTCTTATACAGGACGCTCACTGTAGTAAGTAACGGCAATAACAGTTCTAATAGCAATAAGAAAAAGAAGAAGAAATATCGATGTAGATACATGCCAGGTGCTCCCGGGTGTGCCTACCAATTGGGTGTGGTGTGCGATATCACAAATGGCATGGAATGGAGAGGGGGCCTCCTTAGATCTCTCTCTGTTAGTTTAGTTGTCATTAATACTTAGATCGGAATATCTATTTCTTTGTTTATGTTTCTGCTTAGTTGCGTTTAGACTTTTTTTGAATATTGACTGCTCCTGGTTACATAGCACTTGTTTGGTACGCACCTGGCTCAGGTGGAAAATGTCAATGTCTATGCGCCAGAAGCTTTTCAAGGTGAGAGGATCCAAGTTTCGGCATTCTTGGTCTAGAGTCTGCTCAATCTAGAATCTACTATACTTGTGTAGCTTTCCCCGAGGCACTGATCCGGCAGGAAGTTGGGTTCTTTGAGCAGAATTCCAGCGGTGCCCTAGTTTCGAGGCATGATGTCGCTTCAACTGCCAGCCCATCACATGTCTTCTTCAGATGCTATGGCAACTTCGTTCGTGACGGTAGGCTGACGAACGACACTGACCAGTTGCAGAATGCCTGATGCCGAGTTTAAGGGCGATGGGTGTCGTACTGATGAAGAATCGAACATCTTGAAACATCTTGAAGTTTGCCTGGTCTGAGCCCGGAGGGACCACGGAGGGATGTTTATCTGGGTTTGACAGCACTGTCTGCACGTATTGAGCTTTCGTCCCACCTCCTGGGCACAAGCATCCTCAATGCCTTAACATCTCGACCAGCTTCCGCCCGCACAATCGATCCGAGTCCTGGCGACTGCGCACGCAGCACAAGAGAAATGGTTCTGAGCTTCCCTTCTGAACCCAAATCACTGCCGGACATGTCAGACAGTGCGAATGTAGATGATGGGTGGGGGCCTGCGCCTAGTCCTAGTCACAAAAGTGAGCGGCAATTTGTTGGTCGTGACGCGAGTCTATAGCTGCTCAAAACGTTCATTCGATCTGGAAATCTCTCTGCAACTGCGTGAGGCGTGGTACCACTGTGGTATGTTAGGAAGTTGTTTGTTGAAGGAGCCATTGTTTGCAGCTCCTGACTCTCGGTTGGGACAGGGAGAGAGGACGGGAGGAACGCCGGTGTACTCAGGGCTTGTTTGAGGGACCAGCTCAGTTGTTGCCTTTCGCTGCAGCAGAGGTTCAGGTTCGAGGGGAAGGTCGCAGGCAGTGCTGGGTTCAGGCTTCAGTTCGGATTGAAGGCAGGGTCAAGCAGGTAGGTAGGGTTACAGCGAAGTTTCGACAAAGTGAACGGAGCACCGACACAAGGGTCCCGCGATTCGCAGGTTTGGCCATTTGTCCTATTATGTGATGTTGAAGTTTTGCCCCGCTTGTCACTGAACACCCCTCCCTCTGAAAACTAAGCTGAGCGTGTGCTGCCAAAGCAGAGAGAGGGGGGCACTCGCTGGGAAAAGGCTTCAGGGCTGAGCGGAAGGTGGCAGGCAGTGTCGCACTGGGTTCAGGTTTCAGTTCGGGATACAGGCAGGGTCCATGCGGGAGGGTCAGGCACAAAAGCAGGGGAACCAGCTGGCTAGGTGTACCCAAGCCCTGTACACTGTTTGTTTACCTACTTGGTACAACGAGGGACACCACAGTTGGGAGCACAGTGAGCAGGTGTGCCTGAACCTCGTGAGTGCTTGTCCTTGGTATACAACCCACGGGGGCACCTGCAGTGGAAACCCGCGCGAAAAACCGGGAAATCTCCTTCGTACAGTTGAGCCCGTCCCTCAAAATAGTGGACGGGGTTGCACTGGCGCGCGAGCTTGGGGAGGGAGGAAAGGAAGGCACGATGAAAGGAAACAACGGGAAGGGGAGGCAAGGAATGGACGATGGAACCCTGAAGCCATACCCCAAAACTCAACCCCACAAGTTTTAACGCTACCGTGCCACACCCTGACCTCCCCAAACTTCAAAGTCCGAATCCCAAAAGACGTAAACCATGACTCCACTAAGTCGTAAACCCCAAACCGTAGAGCCCTAGAGCCTGAATAACTTCGGTCCTGATGACAACCTACCCGAGGAACCGCATGCACAAACCCGAAACCCTAAACCCAACCGACCTGAAACCTGGAACGCTGAAACCCCAAACGGCAAAACGCTACAATGCTTCCTGTACAGCCAAGAACAAGCCTTGGACATCCTTAGACCCCAAAGACTCTGAAACTGTTAATACCCTTGACTAATTTTTAAGCCTTAAGTCACCTTCTAGGCGCCCCACGCGCCGCCAAATACAGTAGTCCAACCTTCGAGATTGCGTAGCTGCAGCACGGCTTCAGCAAAATCAGGCGCAGTCTCCATCCCAGAACGAAGCAGAGACAGTGGAATGCTGCGGCATAGAGTCCAAGGTTTTGAATCGGGCACCAGAGAACCTGGTCACCAATTTGATGCGGTTGGTGTGTGGCCCGGTCTAGCAATGTCTAGCAGCTTCAATGCAACACACCCCTGGCCCCTGACTTTGGGAATGCAGATCTTGAGGACTTTTACCTGCTGCTCGCTTAGCTCACGATGCGGCTGCTCAAGCAGGTTGTGAACAACTTCAGGTGATCTCTTTGGTTCTCATGGCGAAGCAGCACACCCTGCTGACTTTGGTAAGTGTGGTGCGCCGGTCGCAGTCAGACAACTGCCACACTAAGTCCTCAATACTGGGCTTCACTTCCTGAGGCACCGCTGCCACTGGCTTTTCTCCTAGTCAAGAAAACAGGCCAAGCTGCTGCCTCAGATGCGCCTATGTTAAATGAACGCTCGTAGCTTCAATCCATGTTTGCAGAGGTGGTCGGCCGATATAGTGTCCTGCAGAACGATTCCCTGGCGCGCGTCAACGCTGTTGCATCTGAGGCGACGGGGCCTGGCTGCCTGCGTGAACGAAGCATAACGAAGCCATACTATGAAGTGTTGCCATCCTGTACCCGTGTGCCCGCATCCGGTCGGAACGTCGATTCCGCGAGGTATGTTTTTTGGGCAACCGGCACGTACTCCAGTGTTTAGCCTGTTGGTTCCGAACTCTAGATGTATGCTGCAATGAAGGTTGATGGTACAAGGACCCAGCAGCAAACCAGGATTGATTTCTTGGATGTGTGGACTTCCATATTGAAAGAAACGTGCTTGCAGTCTTGTCACGACGCGAACGCACATAACCTTCCGTTGATGATTGCTGCAGACCCCTCGTGTGTCACATTTGCAAATTCGAAGCTCGTCATCCCGCTGTGCCGCCGTAATGCTGGCACTCGACCCGCACTGCTTCATCGCATTCTGCAACCAGGCGATGCTAGGTCAGCTGCGTACTCTCGAGTTATCGGTGCGAGCGGGCGCCACACGCATGTGCCCTCACACTCCTTCGTGCATCAGTGTCTCCTCTGAAAGATCGCTCGCGTCGCTGCGCGGCCATGTAGAACCTTCATTGCTCAGATACTGCGAGACAGGAGTCGAGTCATGGTGTCGCTGTGCCTCCGAAAATGGACCTGCTTGCCTTGCTTCAGAGCTTAGCTCTGGCAAAGAGCTGTGCGGCAAGAGGCAAAGGACGACTGCGCAACGACACACGCAGCAAATAATTCGCATTCGGGATGCATATTACGCAACTGTTCACAGTGATGAGCCAAGCCTGTGACAGAAGAATTTCATGCATCGGGCAGATGCAAATTTGGTTGCACTCTGATAGGGCTTGTTGCTACTGAGCTGTGCGGTTTCTGTGAGAGTTTCGGAGGCGATTGCCAATGTGAGAGCCGTGCAGATCGCTGGGGCAGAGCAGACCGAGGTCAAGGACAGCAGAGCAACAGCCCGTGTACATCTGCGCACAGTACACGACATGAGAGTACACGTGCACTCGATACAGGCACTCTGCTTGAGAGCTGCTGCATCAGTCCAAATTGACGAGGAATATTGCAAAGCCACGAACAACTACCTGAAAGTGCTTCCGATTCGTTTGGCACCGTGGCATAGACGTGAACTGCATGATGCAAAGATCTGCTGCCAGGTCATTCAGCAGACGCTCTTCAAGGAGACTGTGTGCAAGACTGGCATCTACCCATCTTTGCACGTAGGTCCGGTAGGTACATCGGATGCTCTGCTCACCAGGAGACAGCGCTGCGGTTTGTCTCCACCCTCCTGAGCCTGGGCTCAAGTGGGTTGAGAGAGCTCCATGATTGTTCCAGAATGGCCCCTTCAGGAATGACGCTCTATCAGACGTGCCTTTGTTGTGCGCCTCGGTGCACTAGAGAGTGATGAGCAAGACAGATAAGAAGTGAGGGTCGTATAGTAGTATTGCCATGGAAAAACCAGTTTGCCACCGGCCAGGCCTCTCCTGTTGGTTCATTGCCTGTGGGCAGCTGACCATGGGCCAATTCTACACATATAGGACCGGCCACTATCAGGTCGAAGTGCATGCCGACAGGAAGCTTTCCTCTAGGTGTTTTTCCGGAGAGGTCAGGTTACGGAGGTCAGGCCTGCAACGCGCGCATACACGGCCATCGGAATACAACTCCGAATACGATTCGCAAGAGTGGCGGGATGGCGATCCTAACACTCGCACGCTCTGCCAAGCCAGGGCAATCCTTGCCCGATCGACCGGTCGGGTGCACAGCAGGTCGACAACCTGACACATGTGGAAAGTGACTCCAGCTCACCATCAATGACAACAAGTACTGCAAGTTTTCGCTGCAAATGAAAGCAAAGCTTCGGACAACCAAAAGGGTGTGCTCTCTAAATCTCGCAGCAACTGTAAACGGCGAATGCACCCGGTTCGATCTTCCTGCCAGATTACCTCCAGATATGTTGACCGCAAGTACACGTGGAACTCGCGATGTTGAAGGTGACGGGCCGAGCACTCTGTTTTCGCCGCACATCCAACGGCTGAAGCCTTCCCAAGGACTGCTGGCAAAGTCTGAGGCATCGACAAGGCTGCAACCGAAACTTATCGAAAAGCATTGCATGGAGCAACATGGACACCATGTTCACAGCACAATCGGATTTCCGTGATGTGAGCTGTACTTCAGAGCAAGATTTGGGACGTTCCCTCTTCAAACGTATCCGCACCAAGTTGAGGGCCGCACGGTTCGACAATCGTCCGAGCAGAGCACATCTGTTGAGCCGCCCTGCGTCGAAAGTCAACTGCTAACAGTAGCAGCGTCTGAGCAGGGTGATGATCTCTGTAGCACCGGCAGCTGGGTCTTGCTCTGATTTGGGTTCTTCTTTCAGACCCTCCACCTAGACTTTTCCAAGCTTTGCCCTTTCTTTACGAAGAAGATGAGAAAAGCACTGCAGACCTCGGTCCTCGTTCGAGTCGTTGAAATGTTTTTCTTCCATGCGACTGAAACATGCTGAAACGTTGCTGAGTGCCTGCAGCAGGCCTTTCTGCAAAGTTGTAGGGTTGGAAGCGGATGTCACGGATGTCGTTGCACGCCACTGCTGCGCCAGATTCCATCTTTTCGACTCTCCACTGCTGCCGCTAACAGCACGAGTCAAGAGCACCGGGCACATCGAAGCATTCGCAGACAAAGCCATCTTCGCACTGCAGCAGGAACGGCAAGGTTCGTACAGACCTGAGGACAATGGAGTGCTGTGGATTGGGCCTGAACCCGGGCAAATTCAGACATTGATTGCAAAACGTGCACGCGACATTCAGGTTCAGCAAAGGTTTAGCAAAGCCTGCCGGCTTGACAGGACCTTGCTTTGGAGCTATCGGCGTGGTTTCCGCGAATTGGCGGAGCTCTTCACAGGTGTGTCACGTGCTCAGGCGGGCCCATGCATTTAGAGCTGAGCCAAGTCGCTCTCCCACTCTCGCTCCCTCCCTCTGTTTCTCTCTCACGCTCTCTCTATCCCTCCTTCATCACTGTCAATACGTTGCAAGTCTACATCCTCGTGGCAAGGCTGTGTCACGAAGATATTTCGATCTCACAGATCGACAACCTACTGTGCCGGTTACCTACACCAGCCGAGACAGCCAGCAACGATGATCAAGGTTTGTCGGTCCTGGCAGGTCCTCGAAGCCAGCTGCAATGCGATTGCCGCAAGAATCCGTCACCGGAAGGCTGTCCCTCCAAGGAGTGTCCTTCCAGTACCCTGGCCAGGACAGCATGAGTATTGGCTCATATCTTCCACCTGCCGTTCTGGTCTGGATGCGAGGACAAATGGGCCGTGCAGAACGTTACATTCGACGTGAACCCAGGGGAGATCGTGGCTTTGGTCGGGGTGGACATCTTAGCTTCGACCCTTGTCGATTTCGCGAACTGACAATCACCAGCCCCTGGTCAAGGCAAGCGGTGCAGGGAAATCTTCCATTCTCCGACTTTGCGCCCGTCTCGCTGATCCCCAGGAGCAATGGCACTTCTTGGCTGAACCTCGAGAACGCGTAGGATTCCTGTGAGGAGGGTTCCGTGCGTCTCGATGGCCATGATTTGCGAGATCTGGATCTGCAGGAGACATGTCGAGAACCTTCAAGTTCGGACAGCTGTCAGAAAATCACGACTAGCAGGCACACATGGCTGAGCACGTTCGGGTCACAGATTAGAAGCCCATCGATGCGCTTGCCCCAAGCCTGCACGTACGAAGAAAACAGACAGTGGACGAGAAGCTGAACAGCATCGAACAACAGGAAGGTGAGTAGCCCTGAGGACAGCTGCAGCAGGACATTACAACCAACTCCTATCTGGGCGAGAGGCCGTCGCCGCGACGGCTCAATATACCTTTGGCCTTTGTCTAACTGATGAGATCCGCCTTCAGGGGCGCTCGCCTTCAAAGCGGGGAAGCAGTGATCCCGAAACTGGTGCGCCTGAGCTATACTGGGCGCACGTTGATCGAGATGTGAAGCGTCCAAGCTTGCCCGAACACTCCATCCCTTCCACAAGCAGGAAATCATTTGACAAATGCAGTCTGAAAAGGTCGCCAGCAAACTCCTGTAAGTTCAAAACCACCAGCCAGTCCATTCCAGCTGGACAGTCACGACCGCGTGGCATGTCGCACGATGTACCATTTATTTGCACGTCCGGGCCAGGTCGCATGCAAATTGTATTGCTACTTGTATGTCACTTGAACTTCTGGGAGCTTGTGCTTGCAAACACGGTGACTGCAGGACTTTCGCCGCTGTATTGGAGTTGTGGATCAGGCCTTCGCGGCAGCATTCACATGGATTTACCTAATCCAAAAGCACGGAGAATGACGGAGAGCTTTGTGCTGCAGGATCCAGCTCTGTTCGACCGCACAGTGTGGGAAAACGTAGGATATGGATGCATGCTTAGCCTTGGTCAAGCAGCGCTTGAGGGGCTGTAGGGAGAACATGCCATGCGCACCCAAGGCTGCGACATCGAAGACAGCAGCAAGCAGGCCAGGCATCTTCCGGAGTTGATTGCGTCGCGAAATGCCACCAGCGCTTCTGTTCAGGAGCAGCTTGCCGAAGCTGTGAATGCAGCGCAGGCCGCGAAGTTCGTGGAGGCAGCAGACCACCGCGCGGTGCATTGCCGGTGCACGTCGCGTGTTGGCGATCTTTGAGGCCCTGCCAGCTGAACCTCTGGGGGAGCGAGGTTCTCGACTTTCCGGCGGCCAGCGACAAAGGCAAGGGAGCTTCACAATATCAGCACTACGTCGCTACACATATGTTGCCGTTCGTCCGGGAGTTGCCGAAGCATGCAGGAACACAGAAGCATCTCCCGAAGTCTCAAGTCGGAACCTACAAGTTCAAAGCCCGACGAGTTGCAGCAGAGCACAGGAAGACCCAAATTCCGCCCGATGTCTAACAGTTTTCAGGCCGCTTCTCTGGTATCCAGGCCCTTTCGGCACCCCAGCCTGGAGGAAGCTGAGAGCCGACTCGAAAAAGATGTCTGGGTGTGAGGAGTCCTTCTGGACCGGGATTTTTTCCGGGCGGTGCTGACTGAAAACGGCAAGGTCATCCTACTCGCGAGCTTGGCCTGCTCACCTTTTCGATTTTCGGGAAGCCTCATGCCAGAAGCTGGGAGACTAAACCCTCGCCCCACGAGTCTATGAATTCATATGAATTCGGAAGATGTCGGATACTGGAATCTCCCGTCTGCTGACAACACAAGCAGCTCTTTGGGGGCAGCTGATCAGTTTTCTGTTTCTTGCGATTCCTGCTTTCGGTCGTTTCGTTTTGGTTAGATGCCTCGTGCACCTGGTACTACTCGGATGCTGACTGCAACGGCATGTTTGGGCACCCACCAGCAACCGCAGGGCATTTGCAAAGCGACACATACGCATATACAGCAACATCGGATAACACAGCAGTGTAGCACGCCAGCTGCATCCCCATGTGTCAAGGCTCGCAATCGCAAGAGCAATTGCCAGAGGCCAGGCTAAGACTATGCTGTTCAGAGCAATGCAACCATGTTTGAGGGCTTGCACGAAGGTGCGCCGGTGCTTCTCATGGACGAGCCAACCTCAGCTTTGGATGGCGAGACGGAGGACTCGACGTGTCAGAGCTTCTTTCAAAACGTTCGGAGATGTTCGGGGCAGTTCGGAGCAGCCTGAAAGTCGGTGTACCAAAGGAAGCGGTTGCTTCCACTTTGTCGCGCCTGGCTTCCAGAGGTCGTGCGGTCTTAGCCTCCCAGCTCAAAGCTTGCCATTTGGCACAAGCCGCAGAAGAGAGTGCAGCATGATACTGCTAATCCCAGGTTGCAGCACATCGATTGCGAACAGTTGCAAGAGCACATCGTATCGTGGTGCTGGAAGACGGACGTGTGGTGGAGGATGTCGCTTTTTCTAAAGATGAGGTGAGGCTTCTGATCAAAAGCCTGTCGAGCCAGGAGGGTCGTCGGGAGCAGTTACTGGAGCAGCCCAACTCCAGGCCGATTGGTTTCATAGCGGGTCCGGTCCATTCGCACAGACAGTGCACGGCGCGGGCAGGTACCGAGCCACTGTCGAGCCTTCCATGGAGGTTGATTGAACTCATGGCGTGCATTCTTCGAGCCTGTGATAATTCATGTGAAATGTTCCTGTGCTTCTCGACAACAGAAACCTCACCGGAACAAGCTGCACGGACCAATTAAGCGCACCTTCTATGCCGCGCTGGGAATTGCCGATGAATTGCCTGGAGAGTGTCTGAAGAAGGACTGTTCCTGCAGAACTGCGTCGTCCAAATTTGGAGGCTTCAAGGGCGATGTGATGCATTATTCATCTTCTTTTGTCAGCTGACTCATTAGCCCGTGTCTCGTCCAATCCTCACAGTGTAGCGTCTCTTTGCGCCAGGGACTTGTCGTTTATAAGTATATTATGATTGTATGCTCTCTTCGGCTCTGGGTTATTAGGTAGTAGTTGCAATAAATGATATTTTCATTATGAAGCGTTTTGCAGATATAAATATAGTATATAATGAGTAAAATATATTGAGTTGTGGTATTTCAAAACAATTTTTCATATTTTTTCAATAAAAATTCATTCTATTATTCTGCTTGAAATAGGTATTGCAAATAAATATTATTTTTTCTAAATAAAATAAAGAATTCTATAAAAAAAAAATCTATATTCTTATTGATTTATTTAAGTCTAATTTATTCAATATATTCTAGAAATTGAAAATATCTTATAATGATAAATAAAAGAATTTGATTTAATAATTATTAAATTGGTCTTCATTATTCTGATTATATTATCTATATTCATATTGAGGTAGGCAAGATTTATGTAGGATATTATGGCATATATTATCTTATTTATAATTAAATAAATGAAAATTATAATAAAGGAAAAAATTAGAAATTATATATTCGAATAATTTCGATAAGAATTTGAATATAAAAAATATTATATTTTCAAATTCTGATTTATTTGATTTTTTTTCGAAATATTCGAAAAAGGTTATCGTGAAATTGAAAATTATTTCATATATTTTCGAATTTATAATAGAATTTATTTTTTATTAATAAATATAATAATAAAATATATATATATAATTTTATATATTATGAGATTATTTATAGTTATTATTTTCATATTATTTAATTGCAAGTTGGATTTATATAAATTATTCTCACAAAATGGTCGTATTATATGATTATGGAATCTTAATAAATAAGGTTTTGGGGTCTTGCGTGGTCGGGTAATATTTAAAGAATACATAAAGAATTAAAAATATTATTTATGGAATCATAAATATGTAGTTATGATATATTTAATTAAATATTGAATTTTCATTTTTAAATTCGTCTATTTATTTTTTAGGTCTATTATTTTTTATGATGTCGTCACGAATTAGATGAATATATCGAAAATATTTCGAATTCATATTCGGAATCTCGATCTTAGGTTTTTGTAATAAATGCAAGGCGAACGCCTAAGATAGATACAGATATATTATATTGATTTCTATTCTATATATTTGCCCGGCACTGGGTAAATATCTCAGAAATAGATATTATTTATAGATGGGGGGATCTTGTCTAAATAATGTATAATTATATATATGCTGGAATCATTGACTTTATTTCGAGTAAGATTATTGCAACGAATTCTTTATTTTGGAGGGGTTATATATCTAGAAATTGAATTATATTATAGTCATTAATTTCTATCAAAATTCTTTTGACTTATTATAATCTATTTGAAGAATTTCTCAAGGATTCATCTGAAAGATTATTTGAAGGAATTTGATTGAAATATGATTTAGATATTCATTAAATTTCGAAGAATTTATTTGAAATATTCGAAGAAATTTATTCTAGATATTTTCTAAAATCATTATATAGGAATTATCAAAAGTAATTTGAAATTTGAATCAAAATCAATTCGTATCATCAAATAATCTCCTATATTTAGCATAGATAAAAATATCTCTTCGATGATATCGTGGTCAATTCTTATATTTAGGGATATTGTTATAATAAAAATCCCTGAGAAAATATAATATTCTTTTTCTATTATCAAAATTAAAAGAACTAAAAAAAAAGACAAAAAACCTTATTTCAGAGCTATTCTATTTGTATATTTTTTTCTAGTTCTATTCTGGGGAATACTGGAATATTATTTCTATATATTTTTATTTATTTATTTCGATTCTTTATTTGATTTTAAAGATTTCGATATTTTTAATAATGATTTCTTTGATTTTATTATGAGAAAGAAATATTATATTATAGGATTTTCAATTATAGCAGCGCCCTTATATGAAAGAGATGATAGTGATATCGTTGAAGAGGCGTATCTGAATTGCCGGAAATCTAGCGGAAGAGTTTATATTGTGCGGCAAATTCGCCTCATATCATCTATTTTTTATTTCAATCGAAATATTTATAGATGATATAAACCTAAAGATATGATATAGAGATATGATAATTGATAATTATAATTCCATTAAATAATGATTATTATTTTAATATATATTATCTAGAAGATTCATTTCAAAAAGTAATCATATTTCGCCCAATTTTGAATATTATATATAAAATGAGTCATATGGGAATTAAATAATAAATATATAGATATATTCAAGATTCTTATCGAAAATATTATTGGAGGAGATTATAAAGTTAATTCGAATTATTTGAGGCTATATATGCTTCTGAAATTGATTATGAAATCATCCCTTCATATTGATCAGTCAATTATCTCTCCTGAATATATATATATATAATTTATTTAATATCCTATATTCCAGCACAAATAGATTCAGTTGCTATAAATATTAGATTATAGATATTTGATATAAGCAGTCTTGCAAATATATTTATTCTCATATTCAAGATATTACGATTTCGAATATAATA